TTGATAGAGAATGAAAGTAAACACACACTAAATCCTAAATTCGATCATGGCCTTTTAGTTAAGGTAAATGTAATATATTTCTCTAAAATCACTAGGATTCAAATAATTAGAAATATGAAAACTTAAATTTAATCTTTATTACGATTATTTTTATAATTTTTTATTTTTATAAAAAAATACATTCTCTTTCTTTCTTTTTTATTTTATTTTATTTTTTTTTAATTTTAATATTTAAACATTCTTTTAATTTATTTCTTTTTAAATACTTTTTTAAAAAAATTATCTTCTTCGTAATTATCTATTCCTTTCACCATTTTATCTTTTTCTAATTACTCTTTAGGCATTTTTTATTTTATTTCTTGATTTTTTTCATCGGTATTCAAGACATCTAGTGACTTATATTTATTATTTTTTGGACCTTATTTTTTTAATGTATTTTAATTTTTTTACTCTATCTTTAATATTGCATGCATTAAATACAAGTGATTGTAAATTTTAAGAAAGTTTTGTTTCCAAACATATGAGTAGTTGATTTTATGAATGAATTATTAATAAATAACAATATATATATATATATATATATATATATATATATATACTTTCAAAAAAATTACTTTTTGCAAGAGAAATTTTTTTTTTCTAAAAAAGTTTATCCATAAGTATATTTTTGAGTACTTTTCAAAAATATATTTTTTATCTTTTAAAAATATTTTCTAAAAAGTATATTTTTTTCTTATTGAAAAGTACTTTTTAAAATAATAATTTTTTTTCCAAAAACAGTACGTTTTAAAACTGTTATTTTTGTCTTTATTTTTTAAATGTAAATTTTTTAATATACTTTTGAAAACATATTTTTTAAAAGTAAAAAATATATTTTCAAAAAATACTTTCTTTAAGAGAAAAAATATACTTTTAAAATATTTTTTTATAGAAAAAATATTCTAGAAAAAAGAGGTATTTAGAGAATAAATAAAAGTAAAAAAGATATATTATTAATTAAAAGGGGTGCATCTAACAAATTTGCTTAGTTAATTGTTTGTTTTGTTTTCTTTTTTATTCTCCTTTCTCAATTTCTTCTCCTTTTCCCAGAGTACGAACGTGATCCTCTATTATTTGTATTATTTATGAGCGTTGTGTTTGGAGTGGTGCTAGTAGACAGGTCAGCATTAAATTGAGATTCGAACCGAATATAAAAAATTTGATAAAAAATATTATTTTTTAGGTAGATTTGAACGGATTTTACGGGTAAATTAAGTTAAAATTTTGATTTTATACGGGTTATATCGGGCGGATTCAGTTTTGAATTTTTAAACCTGCTAAAAACCGTACCCAACTGAAAATGAGATAAATTTAAATTTTTATTACTTTTGTATAACAAAACAACAATGGTTCAAACTTAAAAGTCTTTATTTCAAGTATAATATAGACATCAATTTGTAACTTATTTTTTTTTCCTTTTTCTCATAACTTAGATATTTATTTTGTCTTCTCCTTTCTCATTCAACTTCTCAACACACTAATCCATTTTTAGAGTTTTCTATTTGCTTCTTTCTTTGTCTTTCTTTTCCATCTTCTTATCTTCATTTTGAGTATAACTTGTACGGCCGTGATTTCTTATGAGTTTTGTAATCTAACTTTAGATTTTTTATGCATGTAACAACTATGGATTTTTTTATCTTTTATTTTTGTTTCTTTAGTTTGTAAATATTTCAGATACGAATCTACTTTCACCATCTATTGTCACCCTCATTCTATTTTTGTACACTATTTTAAAAAAAAAAAAAATTATCATTTTAAGCTTCATCTTCGTTAAGATAACTTGGTCTACAAAAAAATTCAAACCTGATTGTACCTACCCGCTCAAATTCAAATCCGTTTCAACCCAAATCACCTCAAATCAAAAGCTCAATCGGTCGGATATGGGTCACATTTTTCCAAAGTCAATTTACAAAAGATTAGATATTTTTCACCCGAAAAAAATTATTTTTTGCAAGAGAAATTTTTTTTTTCTAAAAAAGTTTATCCATAAGTATATTTTTGAGTACTTTTCAAAAATATATTTTTTATCTTTTAAAAATATTTTCTAAAAAGTATATTTTTTTCTTATTGAAAAGTACTTTTTAAAATAATAATTTTTTTTCCAAAAACAGTACGTTTTAAAACTGTTATTTTTGTCTTTATTTTTTAAATGTAAATTTTTTAATATACTTTTGAAAACATATTTTTTAAAAGTAAAAAATATATTTTCAAAAAATACTTTCTTTAAGAGAAAAAATATACTTTTAAAATATTTTTTTATAGAAAAAATATTCTAGAAAAAAGAGGTATTTAGAGAATAAATAAAAGTAAAAAAGATATATTATTAATTAAAAGGGGTGCATCTAACAAATTTGCTTAGTTAATTGTTTGTTTTGTTTTCTTTTTTATTCTCCTTTCTCAATTTCTTCTCCTTTTCCCAGAGTACGAACGTGATCCTCTATTATTTGTATTATTTATGAGCGTTGTGTTTGGAGTGGTGCTAGTAGACAGGTCAGCATTAAATTGAGATTCGAACCGAATATAAAAAATTTGATAAAAAATATTATTTTTTAGGTAGATTTGAACGGATTTTACGGGTAAATTAAGTTAAAATTTTGATTTTATACGGGTTATATCGGGCGGATTCAGTTTTGAATTTTTAAACCTGCTAAAAACCGTACCCAACTGAAAATGAGATAAATTTAAATTTTTATTACTTTTGTATAACAAAACAACAATGGTTCAAACTTAAAAGTCTTTATTTCAAGTATAATATAGACATCAATTTGTAACTTATTTTTTTTTCCTTTTTCTCATAACTTAGATATTTATTTTGTCTTCTCCTTTCTCATTCAACTTCTCAACACACTAATCCATTTTTAGAGTTTTCTATTTGCTTCTTTCTTTGTCTTTCTTTTCCATCTTCTTATCTTCATTTTGAGTATAACTTGTACGGCCGTGATTTCTTATGAGTTTTGTAATCTAACTTTAGATTTTTTATGCATGTAACAACTATGGATTTTTTTATCTTTTATTTTTGTTTCTTTAGTTTGTAAATATTTCAGATACGAATCTACTTTCACCATCTATTGTCACCCTCATTCTATTTTTGTACACTATTTTAAAAAAAAAAAAAATTATCATTTTAAGCTTCATCTTCGTTAAGATAACTTGGTCTACAAAAAAATTCAAACCTGATTGTACCTACCCGCTCAAATTCAAATCCGTTTCAACCCAAATCACCTCAAATCAAAAGCTCAATCGGTCGGATATGGGTCACATTTTTCCAAAGTCAATTTACAAAAGATTAGATATTTTTCACCCGAACCCGACCAAACTCACCCGTTACTCACTCCAATCCATAATTTCATATCCTCTAGGCAGGTGATGCCCATTATTAATTTTATTATTGTATCAAGTTGAGTTGGAAAAAGGGAAGCACAGAGAAAAAAAGAAAAAGAAAAAGAAATGATAAATAATGTGAAAGAAAAAGATAAAGATACATATCTGACTTATTAATTTTTTTAATTAAAAATTAAACAAATGTGTACCAAAGTAGTATAGTAAACTTTGCTCAATATTATTCAAACTAGCACGTTTCATTGTTTAGGTGAAAAATTCTCTCTTTTACTCCTGATTTTCCGTCAACCTTTTTATTGCAGCGTTCAGAAATCGGATTTGAGAATCCCAATTTCTCAAGGTGTTTATTTATTTATTTTTAATTCTGAGTTATAATTTGCAATAGTAGAATGTGTTGAATTATAATCATAACACTTTAATAATAAAATAATAATTTTAATAACTAATTATTTATCACAAATTATTTTTGAATTAATTAAATTTAAACATTTGTTTTACATATGAAAGAACATGAATAAATTCTCAATACTGCTGAGTAAGATGCTAATGACATGTTGAGACTATTAGCACAAATTCCCACCTAGAATATTACTGCAAAATTCATATCCAAAAAAAAGATTCACCCACAAATTTTTTTTATCAAATTGTAAACTCGAACACACACTTACAAAGAAAATGAAAGTTTGGTCTGAATCTTCAACCATTTATATCAATTCACATTAGAGTTATAATTTAAAAGTTAACCATACGTTTCTCATGCTTATTAAAACCAATAAGATATGAAAAAAATCATATTTTTTTAAGTGATTAGACATTATCTTTCAATTTTAAACTGTAATAAGAAAATTTTTTTCTTTATATTTTTATATATTTTAAAAATTCGTATGACATTAATTTTAATGTACATAAATTATGTATTGAAATAATATATATATATATATATAATTTTATTCTAATTAAATTTTGATATTAAATTATCAAATTAAAAGTATCAATTAATATAAAAGTGATAAGTTCACTATAATTTGATCTCTTTTCAATAAAAATTATATCTACTATTAATTTAAATTAAATTATTTCATAATTTATTGGGAAATATTCTTTTAAATTAATTAAAAATTAAACAATTAAATAATATATAAATATAAAATAACTATCACTTTACAAACTAGTTTTATAGGATTTTGTTCGACTCAAATCCACTATTCTAAAATAATTTTAATTAATTTTAGCTTAATGACTAATATATTTATCTTTCGTTGTTTTACATTTACCGTCGACAGCAGGGTTCGAACCTGCGGGCATATCCCAACAGATTTCAAGTCTGTCTCCTTAACCGCAAGTATAAATTTTTTTTACACTGACAACCAATTATATTTTTTTATAATGATATATCAGTTGTTTATTTAATGAAATAATAATAAAATAAATAATTTTAAAAAATATAATTAGTTACTGGTGTAAAAAAAATTTATACTGGCATCGATGATTAACTCATACTTTAAATTGAATGGAAGTAGGATTGATACTTGTTTAAGTGCAATTGTCCCAGCTTGGTGGGCCTTCATTCAAGGTAGAGCTAGGGCGCAAAGACGGGCTTATTTCTAAGGCCTCGCGCGTAGAAGGAAACCTTCCGAAAGCAAACTTCAATCTGGGCCAACTGAACGCCCTCTTCTCCAAACACGGCCTGGCCCAAACCGACATGATAGCCCTCTCCGGAGCCCACACCATAGGGTTCTCACACTGCGACCAGTTCACGAACCGCTTATACTCCTTTTCGCGCTCCTCTCCCGTGGACCCCACACTGGACCCCACCTACGCCGGAAATTTGATCGCTCAGTGTCCTCGTAATAGCGACCCCAGCGTAGTGGTTCCCCTGGACCCGCAATCCCCTGTGGCCTTCGACAACGTTTATTACACGAACTTGATGTCGGGACAAGGGTTACTAACCTCGGACCAGGTGCTGTTCACGGACGCTGCGTCGCAGTCTACGGTGGTGCGGTTCGCGAGAAACGGTGCGGACTTCAATGAAGCGTTTGTGGCAGCCATGAGGAAGCTTGGAAGGGTTGGGGTCAAGACTGGGAAAAATGGAGAGATTAGGAGAGATTGCACGTCGTTTAATTCAAAAACTGTGAAGGGTTAGTTTGTGAAAGTGGATTCGTTGTTGAATAATGTTTACCATGGAAAGGTTCACGTAAATAAGCTTTCATTTGCATGGTTGTGTTCAATAAAGGGATTCAATGTGCACCGGGTATGGACGTTTTAATAGTCTTGATAATCTAATATGATTGTGAAGATTTACTAGTTTTGCCTCGATTTGGTGGAATTTTCTTTTTTATTTTTATTTAATTGCACTTTTTTGCTCAAAAAATTATACAATCACGCTCATAATTTAGTTGGTTGATGAAGTAAAAATGTTAAGTATTATTTTGAAATGAACTGTTAATAGATATGGATCGACGATGTAAACTAATAGGTATAAGAGCAAAATGAGTAATAATTTAATAGTACTCTCCGAATCACCCTCCAAAATATTAATATTTTTTAACAAATTTATTATAAAATAATTATTTAATTTAATATTTTATAATTTAAATTAATATTTTGGAATGATTTTTGAAAGTATGGAGATAAAATGTTTAATATTTTAAAAATATGATAGTGATTGTTCATTCGTAAGGTAATCCTCCCAAGTTAGATGACAGATTATGTTATGAGCTGAATGCTCGAGAAGACTAATGTTATTTAAGTTGCTTTATAATATTTTGTTTTACTTCAATAATGCTTGGCTTCTTTTGTTGGCTAGTTCTTGCTATAAAACCTTGTGATTGGTGTTTAAGAGTATGAATGATGGTATTCCAACCTTTTCTTTCTTAGCGTTCTCTTTGGGTAGCTTAAGTCAAAATAGTAGATACGTATCATTGGTGCTTTCATTGTTTCAACCTCCATGCCTCCTAGGGTTTTTAAAGATGTCAATCCCAAAATGGGTAAAGATTTAGATGATACTCTTCTAATGATAACTAATGAGATCATTGCATTACAATCACAAGGTAATCAACACACATTTATTCAAGAAACCTAACTCGAATCAATCACTTCCATTCTTGGGTTTTTAATGGACAAGATCTAGAAACCCCCATTCTTACACTTATCTCATACATCCTCCACTATATCCCTACCTCATGACCCATATATCTCCACCACACATCCTCTTTCCATTTTACCACAATTTTCCCAATCCCTAATCACCTCAAATTCTCTTTCTATAGTTCCCCCACTAACATGATTTCAACCAGTAACCAATCGTTATATTCCACATGCCCTATTTTCACCACCCCAATTATTACTAATTGCCTACTTCCTTTACCATTTAACCATATAGTCTTAATATTTCCATTCTTTCCCATTTCATCTTTTGGCCCAAACCGACATGATAGCCCTCTCCGGAGCCCACACCATAGGGTTCTCACACTGCGACCAGTTCACGAACCGCTTATACTCCTTTTCGCGCTCCTCTCCCGTGGACCCCACACTGGACCCCACCTACGCCGGAAATTTGATCGCTCAGTGTCCTCGTAATAGCGACCCCAGCGTAGTGGTTCCCCTGGACCCGCAATCCCCTGTGGCCTTCGACAACGTTTATTACACGAACTTGATGTCGGGACAAGGGTTACTAACCTCGGACCAGGTGCTGTTCACGGACGCTGCGTCGCAGTCTACGGTGGTGCGGTTCGCGAGAAACGGTGCGGACTTCAATGAAGCGTTTGTGGCAGCCATGAGGAAGCTTGGAAGGGTTGGGGTCAAGACTGGGAAAAATGGAGAGATTAGGAGAGATTGCACGTCGTTTAATTCAAAAACTGTGAAGGGTTAGTTTGTGAAAGTGGATTCGTTGTTGAATAATGTTTACCATGGAAAGGTTCACGTAAATAAGCTTTCATTTGCATGGTTGTGTTCAATAAAGGGATTCAATGTGCACCGGGTATGGACGTTTTAATAGTCTTGATAATCTAATATGATTGTGAAGATTTACTAGTTTTGCCTCGATTTGGTGGAATTTTCTTTTTTATTTTTATTTAATTGCACTTTTTTGCTCAAAAAATTATACAATCACGCTCATAATTTAGTTGGTTGATGAAGTAAAAATGTTAAGTATTATTTTGAAATGAACTGTTAATAGATATGGATCGACGATGTAAACTAATAGGTATAAGAGCAAAATGAGTAATAATTTAATAGTACTCTCCGAATCACCCTCCAAAATATTAATATTTTTTAACAAATTTATTATAAAATAATTATTTAATTTAATATTTTATAATTTAAATTAATATTTTGGAATGATTTTTGAAAGTATGGAGATAAAATGTTTAATATTTTAAAAATATGATAGTGATTGTTCATTCGTAAGGTAATCCTCCCAAGTTAGATGACAGATTATGTTATGAGCTGAATGCTCGAGAAGACTAATGTTATTTAAGTTGCTTTATAATATTTTGTTTTACTTCAATAATGCTTGGCTTCTTTTGTTGGCTAGTTCTTGCTATAAAACCTTGTGATTGGTGTTTAAGAGTATGAATGATGGTATTCCAACCTTTTCTTTCTTAGCGTTCTCTTTGGGTAGCTTAAGTCAAAATAGTAGATACGTATCATTGGTGCTTTCATTGTTTCAACCTCCATGCCTCCTAGGGTTTTTAAAGATGTCAATCCCAAAATGGGTAAAGATTTAGATGATACTCTTCTAATGATAACTAATGAGATCATTGCATTACAATCACAAGGTAATCAACACACATTTATTCAAGAAACCTAACTCGAATCAATCACTTCCATTCTTGGGTTTTTAATGGACAAGATCTAGAAACCCCCATTCTTACACTTATCTCATGTGGCAGCCATGAGGAAGCTTGGAAGGGTTGGGGTCAAGACTGGGAAAAATGGAGAGATTAGGAGAGATTGCACGTCGTTTAATTCAAAAACTGTGAAGGGTTAGTTTGTGAAAGTGGATTCGTTGTTGAATAATGTTTACCATGGAAAGGTTCACGTAAATAAGCTTTCATTTGCATGGTTGTGTTCAATAAAGGGATTCAATGTGCACCGGGTATGGACGTTTTAATAGTCTTGATAATCTAATATGATTGTGAAGATTTACTAGTTTTGCCTCGATTTGGTGGAATTTTCTTTTTTATTTTTATTTAATTGCACTTTTTTGCTCAAAAAATTATACAATCACGCTCATAATTTAGTTGGTTGATGAAGTAAAAATGTTAAGTATTATTTTGAAATGAACTGTTAATAGATATGGATCGACGATGTAAACTAATAGGTATAAGAGCATATCTATGAAAATCTTGTATATCTTCTCCTGTTTCTTGGTTAACTTTGACCTTAACCTAACCAATTTTAAACAACTTAATTCTCGAAGATTTCTTAACACTTAGAGTTCAAACAACAACACACAAACTCAACATAACAACAAATAACATCATAAATTAACATAACACATCGTCATGGAATAAGACTATAAAACATATAATGTTACAGTAACTCTACTCAACCCATGATATATATATATATATATTAAATTTCAACAAACTACTAAATTAAGAGTTCTTATTAATTGAATCGAACAAGTTTACAAGATTTAACAAAATTTAAAAATTATTTAATACTTTATTACGTAAATTATAATTAAAAACAATTCTAAATATAATTTTTTTTAATTATAATATATCAATTAGTTAAGAATATTCTAAATATAATTTTTAAATCAAATATACCAAAAATAATACATTTTTTTAATTATGAGCCTCCATAATATATTTTACTAAAGATTACAAGTCAACTTTTCACATAGATTAGTTGTCACTAAAATTGTATATATTTCACATTAATAATACAATAAAAAAAATATATTCATAGGTAAGACTAAAAGGGAAAAAAAATCTTTAAAGAAATGAATACTTGTTTAAGTGATAAGTTTCTCCTAATAGATGCTCTTCCACATACACGAACTTGGAAACTAAACTCTAAATCACATTTTCTAGAACACTTAATCACATAAAAAAACATGATTATGTATCTATCTTATTAGATATTGTTAATTGATGAATAAATGTAATTAAAGTACTTTGTTTTGGTGCACATAGGTGACCATAAAATAATTTATTTTATCTTATACATACTACATAAATTCTTTATTATTTGACTAATTATAATAATTTTAAATTTAATTAGAATATATTCACAATATAATTGTTTTTATACTATCATTTTATACTAAATTGTCATTTGTAATAACATTGTTGAATCTGTAATATTTTTTTTAAAAAGTAATATCTAAAATAATTTCCTGTTAATATTCGGATAATGTATAAAATCAATTTTTAAAATATATTCATTTATTATTTTCTATATCACACGCGGCCGTAATGTTACAATTTTTAACTTTTATTTATTTGATAAATGTTCATTGATAAAAAAAAAAAATTTAAACTGAACTTTGTCTTTATTAATATATTTTCTTGGGAAATTAATATTTTTTTACAATTTTATATTTATAATTTATATATTTTATTTTACTTTTATAACGGTCAAAACTGATTAAAACTTTTGATTATTAATTAAATTTTTTTTTAATTTTAATTATAATTTTTTTGATTTTGTAATTTTTTAATAGTAAAATTTATAAAATATATAAAGTTGCACGTGGACTGCTGCTTTGATGCATAAAAATTTTAATTATAACAAGAGTGTCTTAATCATTGCGATGAAAATTTGATATCTTTTTTAAATGAAAGATTACATAGCTTAAATTTATAATAAATTTATTTTTAATTTCTTAAATTTGAAATTATTTTTTAATTTTATAATTTTTAAAAATTTTATTTTGATTTTTTAAATTATTAATAATTTTTCTAAAAATAATAAATTGAATCAATTATACAATATTAATCAAATTTAATATGATATTTTTATTAATTAGAATATTATTAGATAGATTTTATGTGACAAATTAATAAATTATTTAACAAAATTTAAATATAAAAATTATAATAAACTTTTTTTTAAAATTATAAGAGTAAAAAATCAATATATAAAACTGAAAATATATTTAACTATTTTATTAGTTAGCAAGTAACTTTCGCATCTTTGTACAGATTTTGTGCAGTTTAATAAATAAAAAAAGTGTTAGAAGAAATAATTTTAATACAATTAATATTCTTGAAAAAGAAATTTTTTTATTAAATTGATATATATATATATATAATATCATGATAAAAAAAAAAAAAAAATTGTTTCCGTGTTTTTATGCAAATTCTGTGAAGGTTGTTTGAACTCATACTATAACTATGAAGTTAAGACCTAATCTGAATATAATAATAATTCTAAAAGTTAGCATCTAATCTAGATATAATAAATCATACAGGTCGATATGTCCGAGTGGTTAAGGAGACAGACTTGAAATCTGTTGGGATATGCCCGCGCAGGTTCGAACCCTGCTGTCGACGGTAAATGTTATTTTATAATTTGATCTCTTTATATCTACTATTAATTTAAATTAAATTATTTCATAATTTATTGGGAAATATTCTTTTAAATTAATTAAAAATTAGACAATTAAATAGTATATAAATATAAAATAACCATTACTTTGCAAAAGATTTTGTTGGACTCAAATCCACTATTCTAAAATAATTTTAACTAATTTTAGCTTAATGACAAATATATTTATCTTTCTTTGTTTTACACAAGAATTAAATCCTGGATCTAACCACACAAAGAAGCATCAGCTATCACAACTACATTACTGCACACAATTGAGTAGACAAGTCAATCAGATAAGGCATGATCCTGAGATGCACCTTGCATTGCAACCATTAATTTTCTTCTTGACTCAGTTCATGTGGCTTTTGTTAATTGCTATTCTTTTTAATTCCTCTCCTTTTCCACAGTTGGAACATGATTCTTAATTTTCGCTCATGTTTGTTGTGGTGCTGGGTGATGGTGATAGTGGGTCCATGTATGATCCTCATCCTCTAGGCTACCCAATAAGAAAATGCCTATTATTATACAATGTAATTCATATTTCATTTCAGTTGTCATTGTTCAATCAATTTTCATCACCCCACTCACTAATTGGTCGGTGAGGTATGCTTATAAACTACATATATTGTTGGCCAGCTTGTTTAAATTAAAAAAAAAATATATTTTAAAAAAATTACTTTATTAAAAAACAATAAAATTTACTTAAAAAAAAAAAAAGAGTAGATAACTGTCTAATTTAGAATAAACATTCTAAATAAACATACTACAAAATAGAAAATTACTTAATTTATTAAGAAAAGTGTTTTTTTTTTTTAAAAACAATTAAGCAAACAAGCCTATATAATTGATAAAAATGGATTTTGGTTTCCAGCGAGTTTGTTAGGTTGAAATACAATTAAATAAATTTATTGATACTTTAATTATCATTTAGTGCCTTAAAATTTTTTATCACTTTAATTTTATTACAATATATTTTTTATATCGATATACTTATTTTTTTTTTTTTTCAATTTTAGGTGAATCATCCTGTATAATCTGCTAATTTGTGGTGATTTGAGTTAGTAAGATCATGTCCTACCTTAAAAAAAAAAAAAAAAAAAAAGTTAAGTTGACTTAAATTACTTTTTAGCCAATCTATAGTTGGTCAACTTCTGTGATTTAGGTTAGATTCACTTTGCCAATTGTGCATACATATCAATGTCCTAGTCAACCTGTTTTTCATTTGATATTTAAAGTAGAGTAAATAATAGCATATTCACTATTACTTTCAATTTAACCTGTAAAATTAGTATTAAAAAAATATTGTGTAAGAGAAAATTAGTTTCATTGTTTGGAAGTTAGTTTATTAACTATTTGTTAGAAATCAAATATTTCAGCAAGTACAAAAGATGAAGAAAAAATGACCCCTTTAATTGATGTTTGTATCTGTCCCTGCCTACACATGGCTCTCATATTGAATTATGTTTTAAAAAAACAATCGCGATTTCTGGATAATTGTTAACGTGTGTTGAAGTGATATACCGAAGGAACATCTAGATTGTTTTCCTTTAACACGTGTTATAAATTTGCTAATACTCAACCTGGGCAAGTAATCTGATTAATCTATTTCCTAATCATATGCAGCACATGGGGAATAATAAATTAATGAAAACATACAGAAATAACCAATCACTTTTTTAATCACTTTTTTTAAAAAGAAAAGAAATAATCAGAATATTTTGCACCCGTGATATGCTACATCAGTTGCAGAACATGGTCTATAGCACGAGTTAACAGTAGTAAAAGTAGACTACGATTCTAAGACAAACCAATTTCCAGAGTCAGATGTTGCTATATAAAAATCGTCACAATAAAAGACTTTATCTAATCATAATTGACACAAAATTAGTCTTTCAATGATACTTGTGGGATATCCAGTCAAAAATCAAAATAAAATGTACATTACATAATCTCAGAATCACCACTAATAAGAACAACTTTTTGTTTTCTTGGTAACAAAACAAGTCGAATATTTTGCAAGCTTTCTGATCGAACAATGGTAGAAACCGACTAGTGTGGATGTCAATCAAACTTTTACTAGCAAACGGAAAGAATATAACCCAAAAAAAATGGAAAAGAATACAGAAAGCTAAGTCATAGCAGCTATTTGACAAAACACTTTTTTCTTCTCCTTTGGTATGAGTGAAGTTATCCCTTCTTTGAATTTTCACACTAGAGACAGCTTCAGATGCATGGCTCAGATTCTTCAATCTTTCTTGAAATCAAATCAGCAAGAGTAATTTCTAAAGTATACGCACAACAAAATACAGGCCAATCCCTTTCATAATCGAAGCCTACTAGAAGATGTTTTTCCATATAGGTTGGCATAAACAATCCTTGTTCTTAACACAAGAACCATGCATAGGCCTGCTCCAACAACACACAGTCCTGCCATGATCATGGAAGTTAGGAAAAAGCATACGCTACCATAACACTTTAGAGAATCACTAACATCCATCAATGATCCCATATTATGAAGGGGATGTTGTTTCTCTGCTTCAGAATCGTAGATGGTGCTGGCAATGAGACTAGAGAAGACCAATGTTCCTGCAGGGTTTGCCAGAGTAATGAAATTGTACAATGCACCAAAGTTTCTCAAACCAAACAACTCAGAGGCAGTAGCTGGAACAATTGCCCAATGAGCCCCATAGCCAATTCCAACCAGTAAAGTTCCAACATACATTGACCCTGGCCATCCCATACCAATGAAAACATGCCCAACAGTCATTATCAGTTGAAATACAGCCAATGCAACTGGTCTTGGATATGCATGATCCCTGCTCAAGAAAAAAACATGGCTAGGATTGTAAAACCTAAATATTTATAACATGAGTGTCATGTATGGCAACACTGTTGGCTTTTGTAATAACTACAGACACATTTAAGGTGTATGACAGCTATTATTTCTTTAAGAGAAAAAAATATGTGCATCTACAGTGTAAACATCTAATCACAACTTTTCATGTATGGTAAGTTTGTTAACTTTTATGATAATTATCTTAAAAGTCAAATTAATAGTGATTTTTGATTGATTGATAATGTAAAAACTTTTATACTGATTATTAAAGGTTTTCATTGAAACATGCTGAATTAAAATCAACAATGTGTATAAACTGTTTTTACCTCACAACAAGCTCAGATATGTAACCTCCTCCAACACGGCCAAGAAAGTTCCAAATACTGATCATGGAGACAAAAATATGGGCATTGTCATATCCTAGAGACTGGCTTATCTGACCCAGATTGTCAATTACGGTCAACCCGGATCCAGAACCCATGATCATGGAAATGAAAAGAAGCCAAAAGTCTGCTTTGATCAATGCTTGTGTCAAGGTGAAATCTTCCCCTCTGTGTGGTCCTCTCCTCCTCTTAACCCTCACTGCTCCTTCTGCAGCTGCTTGGAGCAGTCTTTGTTGCAAATGTGCTATACGTCTCTGCCTCTCTGATGCAGGAAGCATGTCCACTTCCTTAGGCTTCTCATCTTCCAACTCACTCAGTATTATTTCATCAGAATCCAGTTGAGACTTCCCTGGCTCTTTATTCTGTGGTTCTGGAAGAAGTGCCTCTTCCTCTGGATGCTTTTGATCCGGGCCAAAAGTCAATGAAATGGGAATAAAAATTGGGACAACGATTATCAACAAGAGAATTGCTGTGAATATTTTGACTACAGTATCATTCACGTCAACTAGGTCTTGGACAACCATGATTCCCAACAAATAAGCAGCCAAAAGGAGGCACACACCATAGACAAATGTGAAGCACTTTCCATCTGATGGCCGAACTTGTTTGTGACCCCCAACAGGCCTAACAAAGAACATAAGACCTATTACTACCAATGCTGGACCAACAGCAACCATGAATATTAATGATGCATGATCAGGGGTATGGAACAATGCATATATTTGTGTCAAGATTGCACCACTCAACCCAGCAAAGCCCTTCAGAATTCCAACCACAGGACCCCGGCTTTTGGGGAAGTTTTGTACACAAGACACCAGAGAAACTGTGTTGAAGTAGGTTTCACCATTTGTTCCCACAAAGATAAGAACACACATCTGCATAACAATGACCATTAATCACTTAACTTGGGCAATAAATATCACTAAAAGACATCTCTTTGATGAAATAAACATTTTCAACACAACAAATTAACAGGAGTGATGGACATTTATTAAATTAATCTCCTTAGGAGACATCAAAATCAAGTTATAAGATGTCAATAACTAGGGATAAGGGCATCCACAACTTTATTCACATCCTCCCTTCTTAATTGGGATCACTGCTACAGTCCAAACTCTAAATTTGCACCTTTAACATTTCAAGTAGTAACTATGTTGCCATGTTTGATATATATCATAAAAATCCCTTACAAGAAATCTTCCGCAGTATATTACGTCAGGACTTACTAAACATTAATGCAAATGCATTTTCCCAAGACCGGTATATTACAGAACACTACAAAAGAAAAGGCAGTGTAGAATAAATACCAAAAGGGTTATCAGTTATGTTAATTGTCTCTTTGTACTAAATTGTTAGAAAATTTGACCAAGATTTGGCATCACGTCACACGTTCGTTCACATGGGAGACAGCTGACAGCCAAATTGAGTAGAGTGAAATTTCATTAATTGTTTAGTGTCGGCACACGATGCAGAATCTTGCAACAATGTTCTCGTGGCCAGTGGCCTCGTGCCACATATTTCACACTTCCGCTTCACAAATTTAAAAGCAGACAGTGACTCATGACGCTCGTGTAGTAACGCTCACCAACCAAATTGAAGTAAGCATGGCATTAGAGAAACAAAAAGAGAAAAAGAAAAAAATGAAGAACAGCGCATCAGAAACAGAATACTCCTATGAAAAAAATCAAAACAAAAAGATGAAAAAAGGAAAAAAAAAATCACATGCCAATATTGAGAAGGCAGAAACTGAATATTCATTTAAGAGAACAAAGCTATTCAAATCTCCCAACAGACACGTCTTCCCACTTTTCAGTGTCGAAAAAACAGCCCTTTATTCCAGACATTCTTTTACCAAAAAGGTTGAATTTTAACATATGGTTACCACAACCAGAATCAACCCATATGTTAAAAACCAACTTTTTTATTAAAAAAAAAATGCCCAGAAGAAAAGGATTCAAGCCAAATAACCTCGTGTGATCTATGCAGTCTACTTCATCAAGTAAATCAAGACTTAATTGTTCTCGATTCCCATTAACATCAAACCCAGGATCAACCAAATCAGACAGCAGAAGAACCAGTAGCTAGCATAAAAACCCACTCCATCGCGAACCCCATCAATTAAAAAGCCAAAAAAAGGAACCTTTTCAAGATGAAGCCTCATGGTAAATCAAACCTCGCACAAAACATATTGATCTGACCGAGGAAGAGGACCCAAACAAAACCAAGAGAGAGAAAGAAAGACAACATGTTATGTACTTATGTTATAATCGACAACAACAACATGAACCAAACAAGAGAGTCAAACTAAACCAGCACAGCGCATATCTGATCATCCCCAACATGATAACAATCCAAAGAAGGGAAAAAGACACTCACAGCCCACAAAGGCAGAACCGGAACACGAGCAGTGACAACCAACCAAACCAAACCATAGCCAACAAGGCTCAAAGCAGCACCAACAAGAAGAGAACCCCATATAGGCAAAAGCTCACACAACACCCCAGTAAGGAACCCCACGCTGTCTCCGAGGTCCTTGGCCACACCCAACACCGCAAGCTGCTTCTGGTTGTAGCTCAAGGAACTCTTGATGACCGGAGATATGCTCCCAAACAAGTAGCCAATACCCGCCCACGACTGCAACCACATTGCGGCCACGAACACCAGCCACCGGCTCTTGTACAAGGAAACCAGCTTCTCCGGTATCACACCCATCACTGATCATTCAACAAACGGAACCTCGCGTTGTGGCTCTCTCTCGATCGGTGGAAGAGGATCCTGGTATGGCGCAAGAGGAATAGATAAACCAGAGGCAGGGGAGAGAGAAACAGAGAAAGAGAGAGAGAGAGAGCGACAAATTCGGAGAGTGCGTGAGCTGGCACACTCCCTACTCCTCCTCTAAACCTTTATTATTACATTTGTCTACCCATGCAATAAATATTCTTCGTCAATTATTTTATATTTCTTGTTTCATCATTACACTATGCTACCATGAATTTTACCCATACTTTAGAGCTGTGATTAATCTCCGCCTCATAGGCTCATACCATTTCAGAACTTGATCAAAAAATGCTAAAGATTACCATACCATTTTAGAGTTGGAAATTTGCATTGGATGTTTTTGGTCAGTTTTTATTTTTTTTTCCTGTTTTGTGTTTATACAATGTTACCCATACCTTTCTTAGAGTTTAAATTTACGCACTGATTGTGTAATTTTTTGTCGTCACTTAATCACGAATCCCGTTAAGAATAATAATTTTAATGGTTTTTGACAGCAATAATTTTTAAGTTAATTTCGTAAAAAAATTACTACAATTATAATGCTAATTCTTTATTGATTAATAGTAAAATTATTTTATTCATCAACGAGCACGAAAATCATCTATGAAGAGGTTGTTTTAGTTTAATATTTATATTAATCATTATATTTTATTCGAATATAATTATTTTTGGTGGAGAGTAGTTTTGGTCTAGAAAAAAATATAATTATTTTATTTTATATTTTTGCTTTCTATGAGATGAGATAGGTGTGACACCCTCTATCTCATATATAATATAATAAGTGAAATAAAAAAAAATTAATTAAAAATTGAGTTCATGCATAAGTAATCAATAGAGAGGATATCATATAATAAACTTCTCATGTCAATAGCCTAACATCATGTTCTAAAGAATGAATTAATAACAAATCTTATCTACACCCTAATGACACATATTCTATTAGAGCACTACCATATAAGTATTAGGTCTCGTCACCAGCATCATCAACATCCTCATGAGTTTCACCTGTAAGAATACACATATATAATAACATAAAAAATAGTGAGTGAGAAACATCTCACTCTACCTTATAATGTAAAAATGTAATATTTCTTGTAGTGTTTGTAAATCTCTATAACTTTAAGTTATTGGGTTTGAATTTAGAAAAACTTATTTGAAGAAAAAAAATTGTTGTTTGAGTCTACAGAGACTTGCTTGTAAAAGAATACTTATTATTTGAGCTTGGAAAGACTTGTCTATAAAAGAATACTCGATGTTGAAACTTGGAGAGACTTTGTGTAAAAAGAATAATACTTGGGTAGATTGCTTGAAAAGACAATTCAAAGAATACTTAGGTTTGAGTCAAAAGTGACTTAGTAAAAAATACTTCTATATTTAATAAGATATCCACTTGATCTAGTTGGATAAAAAACTAGACGTAATCTCGGTAATTAAGACAAACTATTATAAATCTCTAAGTTCATTCTTTGTTTTGCTTACCTTCTCATATCTACTTCATTGCTTTGCAAAAAGTAAGAGTTTTTTAGTAACATTATTCAACTCCCTTCTAGTTTCTCTTTTGTTCACAAACCTTTAGAGTTTCATTTGCTTCTTTCAATGTTTCTCATCCTTTTTCTTTGCAGCTACAACATAACATTAAAAAAATTGTAAAATACCTAAAGACATGAATTATAAACTAGAGTTAACTTTCTATCAATTAAGATAAATTTGGATCAAATTAAGGAGTCAAGTCAAAAGAAAATAAGATAAGTGCTTCAAATTATATCACAAAATTAAATCAAAATGACGTTTATCAATAATACTTGTGGTCAATAAAAAAATTAATTAAATTATTTCTATAATTTATATTTTTTTAACCTATCAGAATGACAATGATGATATCAAGATTTAAACATAAGATCATATATATTGTACTCCAATTTTTCATCATTAAGTTAACTTTAATGATTCTTCTGTAATTTATATAATATTCAAATTTAAAAGTTTCATGTATTTTTTTTAGTAAAATGTTGAAAAGTTAGAAACTCATATCTTAAAATATTAAAATTTATTTAAGATACAATCTCAACAAATATTTTTTCAAACTGAGATAGAGATCGTGACACACCTACATTCCATTCATACATGATACAACTTAATTTGGAACAGAAAAACAAGCGTACTTAAAAGAAGATGAGAGACAGAGAAAAATACGAACAAGTTTTAAAATTAAAGAGGAAACCTTGCTGAATTTAATTATAAAATAAATAATAAAAATGAATGTGATAAGAACTAAAAAAGTTAAGTAATATTTTTAAAAGAAAACGTGTAGTAGCAAGAAATTATAGATAATAAAAAACGACAATAAAGGCTTTTGGTCCCATTAAATAATAATAATAATAATCATAATAATTTAAAAAAAATATATATGACGAGAAATGAAATGAAATAGTTCACTTGGTGGTGCTTAACAAGTTTGCAGCTACTAATTTCAGTGCGCATGCAGAAAATTTTGTCCATGTCCTGTAATGGAGGACATGGAGGGAACACTTTCTATTCTTGTCCAAAAGCCTTTTAATTCATTAGAATATTATTACTTGTACCCACGATCCATGATACGAATCCACCTATTCTTCTTTCAATTTCACAATCTCCTGTTTTATTTTTTCTTAGAAACATAGTTGCTTGCTACATATATCATTCATTAATATTTTTAGTGGCTTCTTACTTTTAATGTTCAAAAAAAGGCTCTTCACTCCAATGTCCTTTTTTTTTAATAATTCTTTCTTGCTTCATTGATATATATTATTGAGTTTTACCAAAGATAGTAACGTATAAGAATATAATTGAAAAGGGTTTAGTTAATACTTCTTTCATTTTTCTATTTAATGTTTTTATTTCTTAAATAGTGCTTCTTTAAGAAAACTTGAAAAGAAAAAAAAAAAAAAACACATACATTGAATATACAAAAACGAAATTGGAAGAAGAAAAAGTTAGTTGATAGCACTTTCTATAGGACATAAAGAAAGAATGACGGAGATATTTCATGATCAAAAGCGAAGTTACACTACAAGTCAAGAGGAAGTTGTTCACGTCTACCATATTAATTATTTGATATTTTGTTGTTGATATTGACGAGATTAATTATTTGAATGTGTGGTCTCGTTTTTTTTTTTTTTTTTTAATTAATCTTTATCAGAGATTATAATAAGTGTATACAAAATAAACACGTGCTATGATAATTGATTATTTTGTGACATTTATATATTATCATTAATACAAGAAATTGATCATAAATTATAATTTTAAAAATCAGTTACAAAACAATTAATTTTAAAAGTGATATAACGACAATTTTATAAATAATAGTTTTTTTACTTTTAAAATTTATTATCTTATTGATTTTAAAATTACATATGAAAATGATTTTCAAAATAACTGATTTCGTATAGCTCACATTTAAAATTGATTCATAATAATTGATTTTGTATGTAACATAATAGTTTCTTTTGTAATATATGTTTTATGTTATATATAAAATCAGTTCTTTTAGCTCAATTTTGACTTCCACAACTCAAATCCCTATTTTTACAACTTGATCTTAGCTTTAGGAAAAGATCTGAATTCTCTTGCCGAAGTTAGAAGAAGAGACAATCTTCCTTGGTTCTAAAGCTTATATATTTAAAACTTGTCTCTAGAATTCGGAGAAATGAATGTAATGACTCAGTAGATCACTACATTTACTATATAGCACATTAAGTATGCAACGGAAACATAAATCATCTACTACTCTAGGATTTTCATGCAACAGTAACCTACCTAGACATTCATGCAACAAATATATGTATATGTTGTAGAAAACTTAAAATAATTCATGATTATATGATTGAAAACATAAAGTCCCTTAAGGAATTACCTTGTACATATATACAATCTACATTAAAATATATGAGTATTGAATACATACCATTATCGTCGATCAATCGTCTATACACAACCGTACTACATCAGAGTAGTAAACTCAAAATAAGTCATTTCTAGCATGATCCTCCACCAAGAAAGCCATCCAGCCTAATCTTACTCTACTCTCATACCAAGTATGATCATTGTAGTCTAACTACAAGGAAAATAAAGGGTAAGCTTGCAAAAGATTGACATAGAAACAATAACATAAAATTGCAACTTATGTAACACAAACAACTTAACACAACATCAAGTTGGTTCATAGATAAACTTCAACTTATCATCATTACTTACAACTTCCAATCATCACATACAACTTACAACACAACTTAACAACTTTTCAACTTATCAACAACATAAGAACAACGTAGCAGCTTATAACACAAATAACATTCTCAACTTTAAACAACTAATGCATCGTCACACATATCAACTTATGAAGATTTCCTACAACAATGGTGAACAATCTAAGTGGTTTGAGCCTACCGAATCATTATGTCAGACCTATTGCAACTAGATCAGGTAAGTACAACTTTAGGCCTCTTAAAACACTTGGTAAACATCTTAAACTAATTTCTTAGGTTTCCCAACTTAAACTAGGAAAGTCTAGTACTATTATCAAGGTAGAACAACTTAAGTGTGAGTCTGTCATGACCTTAGCATGCATATTTAAGCCTCATTTGAAATTAACCTATCGACTACCCTCAAAATACTATGCATCATTCCAACAATCATTTAAAGATTTTATCCCTTGACTTCATACTTTGCTAAGTTTGGTCACTTTATGCACAAACTCAACCTTACCCCCATATGAATCAACATTTGGTCACTTGATAATTAGTATGGCTTGACCTAACCCCTATACTATTTTCTCATAAAATCTAAAAAAGACAACTTAAAAATAATTACCCATTTAAAAGTCAACTTACTTATTGAAGGGCTCATAACTTTGAGCTCTCAAAACACCACAACTTATATTCACACAATGAGATATTTTAATTTTCAAAACAACTTTACTCTCCTATAGTTTTTATGTATCTAAATTTAGACATGTATCTCATCATCACATGTTTACACAACTTGACATCTTAATCAACATCAAACAACTATCAACTTACAACTTAACAACTTAAAACATCACTATACATCATCCTAAATTAATAATGAACTAGATTTATACATCATCATGTA